AACTAATAGTGTACTTACTAGATATGTAGTTTATCCTAGTTTTAAGATGATCATTGATAGAAGAATAAGTTTAAGTATGACTATTTGAATATCAAAATACCATAATGGCAAGGAGAAGAATTATAAATTTTGTGTGTATATTTTTTCAAATATTTTTTAATTAATTTGAGTGGTTATAAAGTATCTGCTTAGAATATTTTTTTAATCTACTGCCAACATACATAGATCCTACAACACAGTTGTTTGTACTTTTCGTGTAATTAACTTCAAATATCCAATGAAATTTAAAAGAAAGAAAACTTTGTATTAAACAATATTTTGAGTATAAAAACTAATGGTTAGAATAACCCATGGTTCCAAATGAACAACCATCATGAAGGAAAATGGAATTGAAAATGGTCTGCTGCCATGTCATGAGCCACCAGGCATGCAAGAAGGTCAAAGTTATGTCACGAGTTAAAATACAAATTAGTGTACTCAAGCGACCAAACTAAGGTTATGTCATGAATGCCCATTGGGTAAAGTAAACGTACAAAAGTGAGAATTTAATTACAACTTTTACTTTCGTTGCATTTACAGTCGATTGCTGGTTCAATTGGATTCAGTATTTGTATGCTGAAGAACAAGCAAACCTGTACATACTTTAACCCGTTCAAGGCATCTTCCTTGCATTTACTGTATGCGTGGCCCTCAAAGTCTTACCAGGAGAGGACATGGAGAGAAGAGGATCCGAGATGTCCGTTTCCCAACGCATCAACGGTTCAATTTCACACTGCAGTTGCAGTTGAGAGTTGTTGTAGGTCCATTCATCATATGAAAAATGCCGCCCCTTGCGCCCATGATTTCTATTCTATGCAACTCCCCCCCCCCCTTAATGCCTTACATTAAGCTTTCCAGTTTGTAAAATGAAGGGTAGTGGGTCCCCCTAAAACGAGCTTCTCCTTCTCCCCTCTTTAAAAACTGCTTCCCCTCTCTCTCTCTTCAACCAACTCTTTCAATCTCTTTCTCTCCTTCTTTCCATTTCCATCTTGATTTTTTTTTTGGTGTAGTATCATTAAACACGGCTGACGAAGTTCAGATGAATGCTCATGCAGACAAGCTGAGAAATCTCCGGTGGTTGCAGCGAAAGAGCCACCATCGGCACCTGAAAGCGACGAAGAACAGGATTTAGAGACAAAGGCATCGGATGCGGTAACAATTGGTGATGGACATGGTGATGAAAAAGTCAGTCCGTTCTTACAAGGAAGAAAGCACTAGGATTGCTGACCTTGTCGACACTCAAAAGAAAGCCGTCGAACAACTTAAGCGTTTGTTCGAGAGCCCTCCACAAGCATGAGTTTTTCTGGGTCTGTAATGCCACAGCAACGCAAGAACCAAATGATGAATCTGTCAAAGAAGAAATGAAGGACCAATCGTCGAAGGAAGAAACATCAGACAGGTTGCTGCCTCGCCGGAAGATGACGGTGCCAAGACCGTCGAAGACATCGAAGACACCGTCGTTTCCGTCTCTTCTTCAGTCCCATAACCGGAAGCCGGTGCCGGAAGCAGATAAAAACGACGGTGTCGTTACAGGATGACATCGCAGACGAAAGAACGATGTCATCCTCCTCAAGTTTCTAAGAGCCAGAGATTTCAAGGTGAAGGAAGCCTTCGCCATGCTCCAAAACACCATTCGTAAAAGAGTACGGCATCGACGAACTTGTGGAACAAGATTTGGGTGATGACTACACAAAGTGGTGTTCATGCACGGTTTCGACAAAGAAGGACATCCTGTGCGTTACAATGTGTCATAATTTGGAGATAAATTTGAATATTTAAAAGTTAAGTATTAATTTATAATGAGAGTCATAGTTTAAGTATGAAATTGAAATATTTAAAGTTTAAGAACTAATTTGAAATGAGTTATAGTTTAAGAACATGATGCAATTAACTCAAATTTATATATATTTAGAATAAATTAATTATATATTTTTTTATAATTGTTTAAAAGAATTTTTTTAAAAAAGAGTTTTCCCCCAATTTTGTGTGCCGTATTTTTATTTTTCTTTGATTTTTGTTACTAACAATACACCGATCTATAAAATTTATATACACAACATATTTATTTTAATTCTCAAATCTAAAACACTAAATTATAAACTTTAAAGCTTAAATTCTAAAACACTAAACCTACAGTTAAACCATAAATTATAACCCTAAATTGGAAACACTAATGATAACCCTAAAAAGTTATGTTGAATAAATTTGGGTTGTTATTTATACATAAGGATGTAATTTCTATTTTATAAACCTTAAATCTTAACTTTGACTAAAATAAAAAAAATCCTAAACACTAAATCTCAAAGTAAAACAATAACATTAAAATAGATGAGTTATATAAAATATATTTTAGATTGCTTGCTATAAAAAATATTTTCTATTTGGTTTATTATTTAATACACAAATGATGTATACTTTATTTCACACATATGTTTATTTTGGTACTAAAATTTAAAATTATAAAATTAGCTAAACCTTAAATTTCAAACTCCACAACATGAACTTTTATCAAATGATCAATTTCATACATAATTTTTTAAAATATGTACATTAAGTCAAGATTTCATATGTGAATTTTTATGCATATAATTACACATTAAAATTTATGTACGATATTTCATATATTTATATATTCATTTCATCAAATAAAATAAGCATAATGAAAAATTAACCCTCCAATATTTATATAATGATCACTTTAATCCACGGTCTTTTTTAGAGTATTTTAGGTTCTAGTATTTTAATATTTGATCAAAATTACTCATAATATATGAAATTATTAATTGGTTAAACAATTAAAGTATAACGTTGATGTGATAATTTCAAATATATTTAATTACATGTCATCAAAGTAGTGATACAACATATTATATGTCACTCATAGTGATAGTGTATTATATATCATGTCATCAGAAAAAATATTATATCAATAACAACATTAATTTTTATTTAACTACCTGCTTGTTTCTAGTCTGTACGTATAAACAATGGCTTAAACCAGCTTCCAAGTTGGTATTAATTTTTATTCAATCAATTAAATAATAAAGTTTAAGAAAATTATAAACCATCACTCAATTTGTAGGGTGTTAATGTTCCGTCAAAATATTATTACAAATTAGTTATTTTAATTTATATTGATTATTCAATTTTAAATGTTGGCGTTTTAGTTATCAATTCTTTATATTAACACTCACCATTGATGAAATCATAAGAATAATTTATCATTTATATTGTGATATTTCTTATTAGTAATAATTTAGAATTAATTTTTCATTTATATTTTAATTATCATTTTCTAATTCTATTTTTTATTTTGGTATTTTTTATATTTTTTTAATTATAATAATATGTTCGGACACTAATTCGGATATCAAAAATAGGATACCCGATTTTTTTCGGATCAGATTCGGATCACTATTTTAGTTATCCAAATTTTCGGATAGGATATGATATCCGAATTTGCACGCCCCTAGTGAAGATAGAGATGACGATTTAATTCGAAATCATCAGGTTTTGATTCGAGAGTTAACTTGTTTTAAAAGAAATGAATTTGAATCCAATTCGGGTGGATAATATATATTTTTAGGATGAATTAGATTATTAAAAAATCTACCCAATCCAACGCATTATCATCCCTAACGAAGAGGATCCTAGGTGTCCATTTCCCAACGCATCAACGGTTCAATTTTAAAATGCAGTTGTCGTTGAGAGTTTTTGTAGCTCCATTCATCATATGAAAAATGCCGCCCCCTGCGCTCATGATTTCTATGTAACTCCCCCCTTAATGCCTTACATTATGCTCTAAGCTTTCCAGTTTGTAAAGTGGAAGGTAGTGGGTCCCCTAAAACGAGCTTCTTCTTCTCCTCCTCTCTCCCATCTCTTTAAAAACTGCTTCCCCCCCCTCTCCATCTTCAACCAACACTTTCACTCACTCACTATCCTTTTCCATTTCCAATTGATTCTTCTTCTTTTTGTATAATATCCATTAACATGGCTGACGAAGTTCGATGAAAGCTCAGCCAGACGAGGTGCCGGTGTGGATGTTCTCGACGTGCCACAAGCTGAGAAATCTCCGGTGGTTGCGGCGGTTGCAGAGAAGGAGCCACCGTCGGCATCCGAAGCGACGAAGAACGGGTGAGGGTAAGGAGGCTTTAGAGACAAATAGACGTGATGAAAAAGCCCCTCAGTCCGTTCTTACAAGGAAGAAAGCACTAGGTTGCTAACCTTGTCTACACTCAAAAGAAGCCGTCGAACACTTAAAGCGCTCGTCCCGAGAAGCCCTCGACAAGCATGAGTTTTCTGGTCTGTAATGCCAAAGCAACAACAAGAGCCAAAGGATGAATCTGTCAAAGAAGAAGAAACGAAAGACCAATCGCCGAAGAAGAAACATAACTCGGTTGCTGCCTCACCGGAAGATGACGGTGCCAAGACCGTCGAAGCCATTGAAGACACCGTCGTTTCCGTCTCTTCTTCAGTCCAATCACTGGAAGCAGCTAAAGAACCATAGAAGCAAATGCAGATCCGGTGCCGGAAGACCCTAGCAAAGTGCTCCCACAGTATCCATATGGGTGTGCCACTTCTCGGAGACGAGAGAAGCGATGTCATCCTCCTCAATTTCTAAGAGCCAGAGATTTCAAGGTGAAGGAGGCCTTCACCATGCTCAAAAACAGCATTCGTTGGCGAAAAGAGTTCGGCATCGACCAACTGTGGACAAGATTTGGGTGATGAACTACACAAAGTGGTGTTCATGCACGGTTTCGACAAAGAAGGACATCCTGTGTGTTACAATGTGTTCGGGGAGTCCAAAAACAAGGAGCTTTACCAGAAAACATTCTCCGATGAAGACAAGAGGCAAAAATTCTTGAGATGGAGAATCCAGTTCCTGGAAAAGAGTATCAGAAAACTGGATTTCAGCCCCGGTGGAATTTGCACCATTGTTCAAATCAATGACCTCAGAATTCACCTGGATTACCAAATGGGAGCTTAGACAAGCAACTAAACAAGCCCTTCAATTGCTGCAGGACAACTACCCAGAATTTGTTGCCAGACAGGTGATCCTTTGATATCATCATCACTTTATGTTCTCTTCTTTTTTCCAATATTAATAATGGCTCCTTGTCTAGGTGTTCATCAATGTACCATGGTGGTACCTTGCAGTCAATAAGATGATAAGCCATTTTTGACACAAAGAACCAGAAGCAAGTTTGCCTTGCAGGCCCTTCGAAATCCGCAGATATCCTTTTCAGGTCGTCTCTAAAAATCAAAACTTTTCTCCTTTTTCTCTCTATAAAGTGTAAACCTCAGTCTAAATGACATTTAATTTTACAGATACATTTCTGCCGAGCAAGTGCCTGTCAAATACGGAGGATGAGCAAATACGGTGAATTCGCCGACACCGACGCCGTCGTCGAGGAAACTGTTAAACCAGCGGCGAAGCACACAGTCGAGTTCCAGTTACTGAGGTGAAATATGGCCTTAGCTTTCACTTTTCTAAGAGAATCCAATGAGATTTTTGACCACATCCGCCTTTGGATACTCTGGAAACACTGTGTTTTGCAGGCATGTTTGGTGACGTGGGAGGTGAGAGTTGTAGGGTGGGATGTGAGCTACGGCGCGGAGTTCGTGCCTGACGGTGAAGACAGCTACACCATAATATACAGAAGTGCAAGAAGGTGGTTGGTGGTTCGGTGGTGCGCGACAATTTCAAGGCCGGTGAGCCTGGCAAGGTTGTTTCACCATCCACAATCACACATCGAGAAGAAGAAGCTCCTCTATCGCTTCAGACCATGCCTACATCTGATTAGAAATACAACCCAATTGGAACAATGAAGACGAAACAACAATATAAAATTTTCCATTTGCTCGATTTTAATGTTTGTTATTATTATTATTATTTTGAACTCTGAAGTTTATTTTGTTTATTAGTTGTATTATTTTTTATTTTAAATATAGTTAACTGTCTTGTGATATATATTTATACTACTGCCTTTTTATAATAATTAAATTAACTATATTTAAATTTAATATTTCCATCTTACAATTATATTTATATAAAGGGTAAAGTGCAACATAGTCCCCTATTAAGGGGTGTTATTTTGTTGAGTTTTATGTCTATTAAATGCTACAAAATGATCCTTAATTATATGATATTATTTTGTTGAATCTCTCAACTTTAAAAGTTACAAAATAGTCACTCGATTATTCCTATATTTCAAACTTTTTTTTAAAATTTTATAGTCGTTTTAAATATACATTAACCTTTAAAATTCTAATAATTGAATCACTATTTCATTTCATAACTTAATCATGATCTTTTATATTCAATTTGGGGACTTTTTAGGCATAAAAGAGATAAAGGCAAAGAATGAAACAGCCGCTCCTTTTTCTTTTTCTTTTTTTTTACTGTTTTGAAAGAAATCTTTTGTTTTGGCTTAGTATTTTTATTTCAGTAAAGCCCCCACTTGTTTTGTACTTCCCTCATTCCAGCCATTAACACTTCAATTATCTTCTCCAAAGGCCTGAAATTTTCGGTTAATGTTCTAAGGGTGTTATGTATAAAATATTGGGTAAAATATATGTTTAGTACCTAAATTTTCAGTTTTAGTTCATTTTAGTACCTTAACTTTCAGTTTTTTCAAAACCATACTTAAAATGTAGTTATTGTTTTATTTTAGTACCTGCCGTCAAAAACTTTAATTTTTGTTTCATTTTAGTATCTCGTTCAAAATTTAACATTAAGTTCTGAAATGATTAAAAGTTTAGGTACTTAAACGGATAAAAACTAATAGTTTAAGTACTAAACGCGTTAAGTTCTTAACCGCAGACACTAAAATAAAATGAAAATTAAACGTTGTGTATAATTTTGAAAATTTTAAAAGTTTAATTACTAAAATGAATCAAAATAGTTTAGATACTAAGTGCATAGCTTAGCCGTGGGGAGTACGAGTGCTTATCAAACTACTCGATTGTGAGCTAAACAATGTTTGATTTGTGCTTGTTAAAAAGATTTATTATTCAAGTTGACACGTTGCTCGTTAAACTTGATAAAATTTTGTTCGACTTGTGCTAGTTGAAAATTTTTGTTGCTTGACTCAATTCTTTACTCGTTAAGTTCGCCAAAATTTTTACCATATTTTTAAATTATATATAAAATCTAGTAAATTATTAATTAATAATTAATAATTTAGTATCTTTTTTATTATTATTTTATTAAGTTAAGATGAAAATAGTATTTATTATAAAATACTTTCAACTATTTGACAATGAACACTCAATCACCTTATTGAAGTCATTGGTAATTGAACCCGTGACATTTAGAAACAATAATAATTCATTTAACCACTAAAGCAAGTTGATTCATGTTTATTATTGTTTATTATAAAATTAATAAATTAATAGTTATTAATTAATAAATTATCATCTTTCTTATCATTTATGAACAAATTAACAATTATAAATTATATTTTTCTTTAATTGAATATTTTTTCAAATAACTACTAAAAAATTATAAACTAAATTAACAAACTGTTTGCGAACTTATCGAGTCAAGTTGGACCTTATTCAATTCAACTCTTTAGAATTCCGAGTCGAATTCTATTCGAGTCAACTCAAATTAAACATTAATCAAATTTTAATAAAATTAAATTTACACAACTCGTGAACTGTACAACTCAATAACCCAATAATTCTAAATGTTAAGCATAAGGTAAAAATGGAGGTAGATGAAGATCGTGACATTACATAGTTATATTATTGTTAGGACCAATCTTTATATCCTCTATACTAAGTATGTAGGGATATGAACTTTGATTGTTAAATAATTGTGAGTATTTGAAGAATATTCATCCAGATTTATCAAAAAACTAGTTATTAAATATTTAATAAAAATAAATTATAATTAGTCATTTATAAATACAAAAAGAAAATTATAACATGTATATTAAACTAGGTAAATTTATTTTCAAAAAAACTAGGAAAATTGAACAAACCAAATTTATTTTTTATTTGATTAAATTAAAATTATTATAAAATAATATATGTTACAAATACGTTCAATCATTTTAACAATAATCATTCAATTGTTTATACTACAATTCATTGATATTTAAATTTAAAAACTCTAAAAATAACAACTTTTTATTTAAGTGTACTAATGATATCCTTTAATAATGGGAAGAGTGGGGACAAAAGGCTAAGTCAAAGTGCAGAGAAACGGCAGAGCCATGTGGGGGATTTGGGTTGCTTTCCTTTCAACGTGTTTTACTGATTTCACTTTCCAATTTTACTGTCACCAATAAAAAACGATTAATTAAAAATTAGGATAAATTATACCAATAGTCTTTAAATTAAAAAAATATTATTTTTAACTATTAAAAATTACGAAATAATATTTTGATTATATGACATTGTCAAAACAATCTTACGATTATTAAAAGTTATAATATGATTATTCCATTATATAATTTACCCTTTTTTTTCTTTTACCTTCTACTACAAACAAGTGCTTCCTCTCCCTCTTATCATTCAGCAAACAATGCGCTTGTTAGGGTGTGTAAATTCGGATACCCGGAACATTTGAGTCAACGATTTTTCGGCCCGTGTCCTGACCGGATGTTCTGAGTATCCGGTTTTCGGTTATCCGAATACCCAGATTTTTTTCAAATTATTAAATAAAAAAACACAAAAACTTAGAGGTAAGATTTGAAATAGTTACAAAGCAAACTTGGGAGGAAGCCATAAAATCAAAGATAAGAAGCACTTGGTACCTTCAGAAACTTGTGTGCTTGTGCATGTACATTTGTATGTATTGTGCTTTCTGTGCAAAATACACAGTTTTGAACTTAGATACTTAATACGGGCGGGACACATAGAATTTACATAATTTAATTTTTATCTGATATAGAATTTTTTTCAACTGGTTTATGTATGTCCAGAAGTTACTTTAAGATGAAAAATAAACCATATTCCAAACACTGGATCATGTTGAAGAACCCATTGGTGTAACTTTTTGCAGGTTAGTTCTCAGACTCATCGTTCCAAACTTTCATTGCTAAACAAAGTCAATGAACAAAAGTCACTTGCTGGTGCTACAAAAGCTAGAGAGAATGTGGGAGTTGGCAGCAAAGTGATAGGTTTTGGGAAAGAAAATAACACAGGTGAAATTCATCTGAGCCAGAAATGGAATGGAAAAGGCAAGGCTGCTGAAGGCATGGTTGTAGGTAGAAAAGGGCCAAACCAGAGTGAATCTGCAAAGGGTGGAAAAACTTAACCGGGTACTCGGGTAACCGGGTATCTGGAAAAATCAATTTTTGTGACCCGGGCTCAACCCAGAAAGTGTCGGGTCGGGTACTAACCCGGCCGGGTATTTTTAAAAAAATTACCTAATTTTTTTATCTAGATCGACGGGTCGAGTCAACCGAGTCGGGTAATTTTGCACACCCCTAGCGCTTGTAGCATGTTCTTGTGAACTAGCTCACTTCTCTAATGGGGCAAGCTCATAATAAGAAGGCATTGCTTGGAGAATAGAGAAAACCCCAGTCCATTACCTTAAGAATAAAAGAACTAAATCCAGTACTTATCTGACCATATTAAAAGATGAAGCCCGTGATTAAATAGGAGACTTTTTCCAAAATCAAACTCCAGTTACATAAAATAGAATCATATCCAATCATTTTAGACCGTAGTAACGAGTATGATAGTTTAATGTCAAATGACTGTGATTCTTTGAATAGATATTATCTTCATATCTTATATTCACCCCAGACTAATACATACATACATATATATATATAAGTAAATTTTAAACGACATAATTATAAAATTAGCATCCCACGTTTAAATAAAATGGTCACTTTTCCCTATTCTTTTATGAAGCATTTTAGTTTCCAAAATTTTAATTTTTGATCAAAATAACATTTGCCGGATAAAAATGTTGGATATTAATTTTGTAATTATACATTTTATATAAAATATAAACTTTGGATTCGATAGTACATAAGTTTTGATACCGATACAATTATATATTAGTTGAAAGCACATCGCCTTCCGTAGCATTATTCATCGTGCGCCACATCATATGATCATTATAATCGTTATCATCATCTTCTTCTTCTTCGTGGATTAAATCATGAAGTTAAATCAAGACAATAATAATAATGTGAGGCTTTCATGTTCACGTAGAAGCAAACACAAACGGTCGGTCAAAATCCGTGATGATAATCTGTTTAATCCAGAGACGAAATTTAGTTCCTTTAATAGGCACGTCAGCAAAGAAAAAGAAGAAGATTCGAATAGTTGGTCAAAGAACTTATTCCTGTAACGACGGTTGAGGGGTGAGTGATCATTTTATTATAAATCGATAAAATCAGTGACCAATTTATTACTTTTAAAATTTCAATGAGACAAATAAAATTTTACTCAAACATTCATTGTATTTGAACCTGAAAGCTTAAACCTTAAACGATAACGATAATCATTTACCCTCTAAAGTTGTGTGATTCTTGCAATCTATACTATATTTAAATTCCGAACAAAAATAAAAATTAATATATAAAAAATTGTTTTTGTTTAAATAAAGTTTCCAATATACATCCTCTCAAAAGTGTCGTCGTGATGAGTGTATAATGGGGTGAATCCGAAACCTTCGCACCTTAGTTAATGGTACAATTTTTAAAGGGATTAATTTGTAATCTTAATATTTGGAGGAATCTAATCAAAATGTGTCATTATGTAAATTTAAAATTTTAATAAATCTAAAGGGACGAAATTAAATTAACCCGTATATGTAGTGTAAGTATGTAAGTCTCATTTAATCACGGGTAGATTCAGAAATATATATTAATCAGTGGCGGATTCAAAAATTTAAGAATGAAGGTCCAAAATTTTAATTTTTTTTTCTTAAAAATAATGGGTATGCAAAAATTGTATTTTTCTTTTCTTTTTTCCATAACACATTAAGCTAAAATTATTCATTTTTCCAAAATAATAGAGATGCACTTGGCCTCTATGGGGGCTTAGTGCATCCGCCACTGATATTAATAACATGAAACATTTATACGAATATGCACAAATAAATTTTCAGGATGGAAAGCATCAATAAAAATAAGTAATTATCGAAAAAATTGAATTTTAAGATGACACATGTCCATCCTCACATAAGCATAGATCCATCATTATATTCAATTCACGGTAAAGTACACAAATGGTCCCCCGATAATAGGATATTGTTTTGTTGAGTCTTCCGACTATTAAAAATTATAAAATGATCTCTCGATTATAGAGAGTTGCTTTGCTGAGTCCCTCGACTATTAAAAGTTACAAAACAGTCACTCGACTATTTATTATGTTCCAAACTCGTGATTTTTCGTTAAAAAAATTAATGATTATTTGAGTTGGACGTTAACACTTGGCTAAGATATGATAGTCGTTTGAGATTATGAAACCAGATTTTATCATATCTCAGTCAGTAGGTTAATGTCCATCTTAGGCTGTTGTTAATTTTTCAACGAAAAATGACGATTTTGGAATATAATGAATAAATGGGTGACCATTTTGTAACTTTCAATAGTCAAGAGACTCAACAAAGCAATTCTCTATAGTTGGTGGACCATTTTGTAACTTTTAATAGTCTGGTGATTCAACAAAGCATTATCTTATAGTCAGAGGACCATTTGTGTACTTTACCCTTCAATTTAAGAGCTTAGCATTGAAAATATAAGTTTGGTATTGTTTGACCTTAGATTCGATAAAGTTTATGAAAGATTGTGAAATTTCCTTTTTGAAGTATAGGACAAATAAAAAGCCACCGGCGCAGGAAACATTATATAGTGAATTTCTTTTGCCGCCTGTTGCCGGCAATTGCGAGGAAGAGGAAGACCCAAAAGTAAATGGAGTTTGAAACAGTGAAGAAACACTTGGAGAAAGGCCTCGACGGCAATGGCAATGGCATACTTTCTCGGTTGTTCGACGACTTCATCATGCAAGGTCTGGGACTCCGAGTCGAGTTGATCGAGCAGGGCCGACTCCTTTGCTCCATGAAAATCCCAGTTCGATTTCTGGTTGCTTTCTCTCTCAATTGAAATGCTAAATCAATTAAGCAATTGGAATACTAACACGGGATTGTTTTGTTTTTGTGTCCATGGTGGGCAAAAGAATCCTATGAACGTGTTGCACGGCGGAGCCACCGCATCACTGGTGGACTTGATTGGTTCTGCGGTTATACACACTTATGGACTTCCCACTGGAGTTTCGGTGGAGATTACCGTCTCTTATTTGGACACTGCTTTTGCTGATGTACGTCACTCCATTTCATTTTTCTTCTTCCTCTATTCTTTTTATCAGTATAGGATGGACGTAAGATAATATTTATTCGAAATACTCTTTGATCATATGAGGATGAATGCTCATACATCCCTACAAACGTCGTGTTCGAACTCAAGACCTTTAAGGAATAATAATAATCTCTGAACCACTGAGATCATTTGATTGATGTTCTTCCTCGTCTATTTATATCAGTTCGGTAATGTTGTTGTTAGCGATGCGATGCAGGAGGAGATAGAGATCGAGGGCAGGGCGTTGCGTATAGGGAAGACGGTTGCCGTCGTGAACGTCGAGTTTCGGAAGAAAAAGACAGCCGGAATATTTGCACAGGCTCGTCATACCAAGTACCTCCCTCCCCAAACTAGAATGTAGAATGAAATAATACTCACACACACGCTATCCTAATAAGAGTCATTTAGTTGAATGTGATGACATGTTTACCATGTGAACCTATGCTTTCCTTGGGTTAAATAAATAGTCTCTTCTCTTCTAAGGCTTAATACAAGAGGTGATATATTAAGTTGATTTTGTTGGTATATATCCATCTTGACTGCAGCATATATATCGGAATCGAAAATCAAGACAATAATTTAGTCCCCATGAAAATTTAAAATTGTCATATATTTTAGATTTTTTTCTATATATTTTTTATTGAAAAATTGTTTTCAACTCCAAGTTTAAGTTCATCACTCTAACATAAAATCTCGCGTCCGTCCCTGGTTGGAATATGAAAAAACACAGCTAAATATATAATTTCGTTTACACACATATATATATATAGAGAGAGAGAGATAGGGTAAGATCCTCTTACAATGTAAACTTTTCTTAGTTTTACACAATTTTAGGACCATTGGACGAGTGAAAATAGATAACTGAAATTAAAAGTAGGAAATGTATAGATATTTACGGGGAAAGGGTCAATATCAACCATCTATTTTTACTTATCCAACAGTCCTAAATTTACGTAAAACTAAAAGAGTTTTAGATTGTGTAAGTGAATTCTGCTCCTATATAGGTGATTTATTTTGATTTTATCTCTCATTTTTTATTGTTAATTGTACTTTAACCCTTGAACTAAATCTTGGTTTCGTCCATCCCTATTATATATATTATTTAGAAATAAAAATGAAAAATATATTTTCCAAAATTTTCTTAAGCAGTGGAATACAAAGTAGTAAATTGATTTGTGAATTACTAATACCTTTAAACATAGGGTAAATTACACATTTGGTATTTAAACTATCAATTTTGGTTCGTTTTGGTATCTAAACTTTAAATTTTTCAAAACTATGCCTAACGTTTAGTTTTTCTTTCATTTTAGTACTCCATTGTTAAAAACTTAACGCGTTTAGTACCTAAACTATCAATTTTAGTCCATTTTAGAACTAAACTTTAATTTTTTTCAAAGCTTAACATTAACTTTTGAACATGGTACTAAAATGAAACAAAAACTAGATTTCAGGTATGGTTTTGGAAAAAATGAAAGTTTAGGTACTAAAACGGATCAAACCTGATAATTTAGGTACTAACTGCGTAATTCACCCTTAAATATATATTTAGAATAAAACATTGTTTCAGGATTTCAAATTAAATTTACGAATTGATGTGTTGATTAATTTCTTAAACTATAATATTAAAAAAATAAAAACTAAAATTTATTAATTATAACACACTGATAAATTTAAATTCGATCAACTACGTAACATCAACATATTCCAGATTTGATCTCCGACAATTCATCTCCTCCCTCTTATCAAATAAAATGATACTTATTTAATTTTATTAATTAATAATATATCGTTAATTACTGAAATATAGAATGATTAAGAGAAAAGGTAATTAAAGAGGACAATCATAAAAACACACACACATACGATGCGGTTCCGCCGGTGATCCTCCGTTCACGAGGCATCGCCCATCCATTGATCGGTGCTTTTGGAAACACAGCTTCTTGCAATCGTTGATCACACAATTCGTGGTTTGATCCAACACATCCATGCAGCTTCCTCCTTCGATCTCGGGTACCATTGAAATGACTGCAATGAATAAAACATTCGAATTAATTTCTAAATAGTCGGATGAAATTCATTATGACTCGAGTGGTCAAGGATGCTCGTGTTATTCCGTCTTTTGTAGATTTGAATCCTGAAAAACGTTATATTTTTCTACTTGAACAAAGAAAATTTCTAAAGTCATCCGAGGAATTCGATAAACCTAAGAAATTTTGTTTGTTATGGGTAAAGAAAACATACCAATAAAAAGAAGGGCGAGGATGAGAGTAGATTTGGCCATGATATTTCTCTAGGGAATTGCTTAGAGTGTTCCGATTTGGCCTTTGGAGATTCTGAGTTTTATATACACTGTATACGTGAATCAATTTGGGTCTTTGGATTTCTTTCCATGATAAGGCAAAAAGTTGCTATTTTGTTTTCTTTGGTTTACCGAAAATATTGTGAAAATTTATTGAAAATCCCATTACTTAAGTTATGTATCAAGACAAATAAAGACTATCAATTTTCCATATATATATATATATATATATTCTTTGAGCAAAAAGGCATCTGAGGTATATGTAATTTTGAAAAAAAAAATTGATGTGGTCATCGTATTATATTTTTGCTCTCAATACGGCCCTCCAACTCAGAAAATAAATCCAATGTGGCCATTTGATCAATGTTTTTTTTTATCTTTCGACCATTATTGTGCTGGCGTGACAATTCACAATGCTGATGTGTCAGTTCAAAGTGTTGATATGACAATCCATAGTGATTGATAATGTGGCGGATAATATGACAGATGGGCTAAATAGACAGTGGCGGATCTAGAAATTTAAGAATAGAATCCAAAATTTTAATATTCTTTTCCTAAAAATAATGGGTATGCAAAAAATTTTATTTTTTTCTATTTTCCCTTAACATATTAAACTAAATTTCACATTTTTCCTAAATAATGGGATGCACTTGGCCCCTAGGAGGCTTAGTGCATCTGCCCCCGTAAATAAGTAACTCAAACATAGCAGATAAACTGTCACATTAGCACTGTGGATTGCCATGCAGCACCATAACAGTCAAACGACGAAAAACGTTGATCAATGGTCACATTAGGTTTGTTTTATGAGTTAGAAAGTCATATTAAGAAAAAAATAATACGATGGTCATACTATTTTTAAAGTACATGAACCTCTTATACCTTTTTACCTATTTTTTTTCAAATAAAATAATAAAAATTTCTAAACTTATCTTAAGAAAAAGTATTATGAAAATCCTATACATTCAATTAAACTAAGTAATGTATATAAGCATGGTATCCAATTTTGTGTTCTTTTCACTTTCTTGAAAAAATATGACCTTCGAATCTTTATACTTTAAAAGAAAATGTTGCAAATCAATTTTTTTTTAACAATGGGTTATAGAAATGACATCATCCAGAGTAAATCAATTATTAAATTTTAGCATTGTTATATTAGCCCAACAACACATTTTTAGTAAGCCCACGGGTTTAGCAGAGCCAAGGTCTCGATATTATACCTGAAAATTATGATTATCTACTCAAATCAAAAGAGACGAACCACTACAAAATTCATCCTTCAATGTTGACCATCGAAATTTTGGTGTAGTGAACATGAAGCAATTTCGAAAACATTGAACGCCTCCATTCGAAGCGGTATAAGGAGGGCACACATCAAAGCCTTGGTGAGCCAATCGCATGACCAGATAAAATAGACAAAGAAGAGCCCTCTCCTTACTAAGCAGCACCTTCGATGGATGAGGGTCAACATTGAGACATTCACGGACGTATGATTTTATACTAAGTGAGGTGAATTTGAACTTTTAAAATTTCAGGGGATGAGTTTGAATTAATAAATTTTTAGGAGGTGAAAACAAATTTTTAATAAAAATACATTAAAAAAATTAAAATATATAGTAATTTTAAATTTTCAAACCCCTCGTTCCATCCTTGTTTCGCACAAGTGTAAACATGCTAATCTAAATGAAGGTGATCATCTGACCTTATTCGAGTCTGGAAAATCCTTGTAAACAATTGAGAGAGAGAAATTAAATATATTAGAACCCACTTGGATTTTCTTAAACACACTTGATACGAAGTCTAGATCATCGCCGATAAGACCTCTCTTCGCTGTCTCTTATAATAGATACAACATATAATTAATATCCAGCATCATCTAAAACTTGGAAAAATCCCTTTCACGTGGCATCAAAATTAACATAAACGCTGGAACAAAAAGCTTAATGGGTCAAAATAAAAACCTTCTAACTTCAATTTGGTTTTAACTTGACATATAACCAATTCTCTTTCTTTCTCAAGCATTACAATCTGTTTTTGCTTTTATTAATGTATGTGTATATATATATATATGGGTGGTTTTGAACGTAGCTTAATTCCATCTCTTGTTTTTCATTTCTCCTCGACTACCAGAGCCACATTCCAGGTACGTTTTTTCTTTTTGATTCACAAGACTAGAATGTTTGGTTTCCGATCGCATGCTCAATAAATGATTTAACAAATTTGCAAAGGGTAAACCGTTGCATGCAGGGATGGACTAAGGTCGGCCATCCCTCCGATTATAGGATGTTGCTTTGTTAAATCCTTCAACCGTTAAAAGTTACAAAATGATCACCTGACTATTCATATGTTCCAAACTCGTCATTTTCCGTTTAAAAAAATTGATAACAGTCTGAACTGGACGTTAAACTGCTAACTGTGGTATAATAAAACTGGATCACATAATCTCAAACGACTATCATATCTCAGTCGGCATGTTAACTTCTAGCTTAGATGATCGTCAAATTTTTAACGAAAAAAGTCAAGTTTGGAACATATGAATAGTCGGTTGACCATTTTATAACTCTTAATGGTAAAAACTTAACAAACAACATCTTATAATCGGATGACTATTTTGTAATTTTTACTAGGTAGAGGGTTTAACAAAGTAGTATCATATATTCAGAACCATTTATGTACTTTATCCTATTTAAATTCTCCTATATTTTTTTAAAAATATTTATATTAATAATTTATTTTGCTCTCATCAAATTTTATAAGTTTTCTCTGACATAAAATCTTATGTCGTCTTGACCGCAGGTCCTGACCATAGAATTGGAAATAAAAGCTTGTTTCAAGAGAGAGAGGTGAGAATGGAAAAACCTGCAAGCCAGGCTACAACCACTTGTAAACCCTTGACCACATTCGTGCAAACAGACTGCAACAATTTCCAAGAGGTCGTGCAGCGATTAACAGGTCGGTCGGAGAGTGATCCAGCACAAGCAGCAGCAGCCGCAAAGGGTCCGGCCGCCTTGAAAAGGCCGGTTCCCAAACTCCATGAAAGACGGAAAAACACGATGAGGCCGAAACTCGAGATAGTTAAACCCTCATTAAGCCTTAAACCTTGTACATCGCCACGAAGATCCGGAAGCTCGAGTCTTCTGACGAGTCCAGTGGGAACTCCATCATCAATTTTCTCCAAGCTAACCTTGCTGATAGACGAAAAGCTGGAAGAATTAGTGAAAAGGGATCAATTGAACAGGAAGAAGAAAAGGCTATCAAAGAGAGACACTTCTATCTGCATCCTTCACCACGCTCAAGAGCAGCAAAAATGGACCCTGAATTACTTGTTCTGTTCCCTCTTACATCTCCAAGAACAAACGATAAAGCATGATTTTTTTTCTGCCATGCATGCATTCATGGAAGGATCATAAGATCGACATGTTCTTCAAAATTACAATGAAATTGGAGTCATGGAATGGAAAGGTCATACTCATTAAAGCTATAATCTCTTCAAGATTTTTTGCAAGCGGTAATTTGCTTTGGATCACACCATACTTCTCTTCTGCCTGCCTTCAGAATATGTGATCAATATTCTTATTATTTGCATGATGAACTTTTAAAGTACCGTCTTTTACTTGCAAAACTGATTTCCTTCCCTAAGAAAAATTGGATTCAATTCATTTGTGGGAATTTAACCCTTGTATGTAAAGAATTACTGAAAATATCTAGACTCATAATCGGTACCTCTTATTCAGATTAGATATTAGGGACTAATCTACCTGTACTTGTGTGAAAAATATATTCTTGAAATTTATATATATATTGAAAAGAAATAGAATCCTCTTTAGACTAGATATCCATAAATCACCCTTTCAAAAAATTTAAATGTTCTCTTTTTTAAAAAAATAATTTTTGACTGTCTGCATTTAAAATCGGATAAAAACTTAAGTTCGAGAGTCAATTACACTTGAGGAAAGTTAAAACACCCTATAACGTCCAAAAATGAGTACCTTCTAGAAAATTGTATGTTGTCTCGTTTAAAAAAATATATGATACTTTAATAAATGTAAACTTTGTGAATGATATCTTCCTATCATAAATAATTAATGAGGCAGTGAATTAGAAGATTACCTCGCTAATTATCGCAGTAAAATAACATTATCTTAATGAGACAGCACTCTAATAAGTTAAGAGAGCGTTACCTTAATTATTATGACATGATAACATCATCTTAATTTTAAAAACATAAATAATATGATGAACCTGATATTTCTGAAGATAAGAAAATAGGAAGTGTATGATGAACCTGATATTTCTGAAGATAAGAAAATAGGAAGTGTATGATGAACCTGATATTTCTGAAGTTGCAAACTAGCGAGTGAGACCACTTCAGCTCACTGCACATTGTTAGAAATTTTAATTTTTATATATATTGAACTTATGCAGAAAGGGTACACAAAATTCTCCGAGATAGAACATTAAAGTAATATATAACTTGAAGCATTCAATTTAAAATTTCACACAATGAACAAAAAAGACACCCATCTCCTTAAGAAGGCATAGCATGCTAGTAGTACCTTATGGACTCGTTCAACTTCAGAAACAAAAATGAGTAGTAGTCCAACATGTCTTGGTCCTTGTCATTGGTAGATCACCTTCAAAATGAAAATTACAATTCAGCAACTGTATATAGAAAGTCAAATGATTTATTTACAGTTAACTGAATCCCAGCAGAAATTAAAATATCAATATCGATAGTTAACTGAAACCTTCTGCTCTTGGCTGCCTCTATCCAATTCATCTGTTGAAGTTGAGGAATATCAATTCGAACCACTAAGGCTAGATTCACTCGAGGCTCCAATGGATCTGATCCACTAAAGTAGAATGCCCATACCAACAGAAGTGTTCAGTCTATCAAGGTTTTGATCAATAACATTTTAAGGATATAGGCAATTTAATGGCATTATCCTTCTTTTATGAGGCTCAAGTGCTATACATGAACACATTGATCTTATCATATAAAACGTTCCTTCATTTGTTGATCCAAGGTACTTAAAGTACTATAGATGATTTCTCTCCTAGGATGAAAACAGTCTCCAGCTATGAAGGCGTTATTTCTCTTCTCCACCACAATCCAGCTGCATCCTGCAGGTTTTTTCAAATCTCTTGTTCTCATCAATTTTCTCACCTCCATGACACTATCCCATCTAGCATCGGCCGCATATAGGTTTGAAATTACAACATAGTTCCCAACATTACTAGCTTCAACCGAAAAAGGTGATCTGCCACAACACGACCCAATTCCACCTCGTGATGAGTCCTACAGGCACCCAACAATGCACCCCACACACTGGCATTTGCTTCAACAGACATACCAGCAACTAAAGAATACGCATCATTGATTCGTCCTCCTCGAGCTAGAAGATCCACAATGCAAGAATATTGCTCAATGCTTGGTTTCATCCCATGAGAAGTCTCTAGTGACTTAAATATTTTCAACCCTTCATCTATGAGGCCAGCATGACTGCAAGAAGATAAAATTGCAGTAATGATAACATGGTCAGGCTTCAACCCCAACTCAAACATATAAGAGAAAAGGCTAAGTGCTTCACTTCCCATGCCATGCATTGCGTACCCACCAATCATTGAAGTGAACATAACCAGATCCTTAACAGGAGCTAAATGGAAAAGCTTATGAGCAATCCATATGCTACCACCTTTTGCATATGCATCTATAAGAGCTCCCTCCAATCGAGCATCTTGATCACAAGCTCTTATAGCATAACCATGGCACTGCCTCAACAAGTATACAGAGGCCATTTGAGCACAGACAGGAAGAATACTCATGACGGTCATTGCATCAGGCTTCAGACCCTGAGCTTGTAAATCATGGAAAAGGTTGACAGCTTGACCATGACAATCAATTGCAGCACATGCTTGAATCATCAAATTCCAAGAGGTGAGATCCCTTATTGACATCCCATTAAATATCATAAATGCATCATCATACGATCCTGAATTCATGTAACCTGAAATTATTGAATTGAATGTAACCAAATTCTTTCTCGATAAATTCTGAAAATTCCTGGAAGCATATTCCATTTTACCACATTTGGCATATGCATCGATTATTGCATTTATAACAGCAAGTTCACAATCACCTAGTAACATACCAGCCTTGAGGCAGTAGCTATGAATTTCTTTAACCTTTACTACGCTAGAAACGCGGACACAAAACCGTATGATGGCTAAGACAGTGATGAAGTCTGGCCTAAATCCTTCCCCCAGCATGCAGTTTAAATGTCCCTGAAACTGAGCATCATATTCACACCATGCAAACGCATCAAGAATAGAATTCCATGAAACCAAGTCTCTCCAAGGAATCATCGAAAATGTCTGATATGCGGCTCCTATGTCATTGCATTTTGCATAGAAACTAACAAGGGCATTTGACACCGGTGTATTTGCATATAAGCAAGAATGCCGAAGAATATACCCGTGGATCACTTTTCCAACCTGGAGATCCTTTAAGTGTGCACAGGCCGAAAGAATACTAACAAGAGTAGCAGCATTTGGTTCAAACATATTTGCAGAGAGTAATTCTTGAAGCAAATCCAAAGCTCTCAGCCAATAACCATTTGCCACATAACCAGCAATAATAGCATTCCAGGAAACCAAATCTCTTGATTCCATCTTTCGGAACACTGATTCCGCTTTGTCTATGTGCCCAACTCTCAAATAGAAGCTGACCAAGGCATTGCAGACAGAAACATCTCCTCCCATCTCAGTCCTCAGTAAAAAACATTGAATTTCCTTCCCCAAGTAGCAGGCAACATTCTTGGTGAAAGAAGCACAAACAGGTAGAATACTCACAATCGTTGAAACATTAGGTGCTATTGGCCCTTTCAGCATCTCCCTGAACAATCCAAAAGCGTCATCCAATAAATTATTCTCAGAAAAACCTGCAATGATTGCATTCCACGAGACAACATCTTTGTCACAAATGCTACAAAATGCAGCATAAGCATCGGATCTTACTAGTCCGCATTTTGCGTACATCGATATTAAAGCATTCCCAACATTCGTATGTGCATCCAATCCAGACTTTATCATACAGGAATGCAGAATCCTCCCTCCATTTATATCTCCTAACCGAGCATACACAGGAAGAGCAATGGAAAACGTAACAGGATTTGGCTTTACTTCACTGGAAACACGCATTGAATTAAACAAATCAAAAACTTGATCATCATACTCCCGATAACCCGACAACCCGGATAAGACAATGTTCCAAACCACAGTATCCGAAGTCGGCATTTGTCGGAATAACTTATGGCAATCAAGGAGAGCTCCAGATTTAGCATACATGTTAAGCAGTGCTTTGGACACGGATTGGCAATAGGAATGGCCCAGTTTCAGTATACAACTATGGAGAGCCCTTCCCAAACCGGTGGTCCGAAGGGCAGCACAAGATTTAAGAATGGGTGCAAAAACTTGGTGATCAAGTCCAAAACTGGATGAACACCGCACCTTGTGAATGAAAAGGGATAAGGCTTCGCAATGCCTACCATATCTGGTACAGTCATTGAGCGTACTAATCCATTTGTGCTCTGCATCTCGCTGAAGCATTCCCTCGAACAGCTTTCGCGCAAAGTACAAAAAACAAAACAAAAAGATATGACCCGCACCGAGATCGTTGGGTTCACTGTGATATTAAAAACACAATGGCTTTATAACTGATTAGTCAAATTGAAATCGTTCAGGTGTGTAGAAACAGGATGGTTGTTTGTAAAGCGAATCGAAGTATAGAAATTTGTAGTCTTAACGTGTCGTTATCTCGTCTGTTTGCGGCAGGGATGACAACGGGTCGGGTCGGATTTTTAATCGACCCAACCCGAAAAATATGTATACTCCACCTAAATCCGATCCGAAAAATAAATACCATCTATTAGATTTTGATTCAATCCGATATTTTAGAGTATAAATTTGATTCGACCCGGTATACAATAAATATTTAATTAAAAAATATAAATTTTTAAGAAAATTATATTATTACATAAAGTCGGGTCGGGTCTAATTTTTTCTCCCTCTATCCAAACCCGAACTCCATGTTTTTTTTATAAAAAAAAATCTGATCATATCTTGTCGGATCGAACCCTTGTTTGCGCCCACACACATGCGTATATATAGGTAAAAGAACATTTTAGGTCCTTTTAATTTTGACATTATGTAAATTGGTCCTTTCAATAACATACGAGTAATTTAGTCTCCATCAAATTCAAAAGTGAGCAATTATTGAAAATTCATATATTATTAATTTGGTCTTAGTTATTAAAAAAATAGTATTTCATCCCTTTAATATTTACAAAATGTGCAAATTATATGTTGAATTTTTAGAATCAAAATTAAAGTATCATAACATATAAAGGTTAAAGGTTAAATGTATAATATTAATAAAAATTATGTAAAATTAATAGAAAAAATAACACTTGGATTGCATGCAATCCCCTTTCTCTATCTGCTTTTTTGTCTTCTTATAGTAAATACAAGTTTTGTTAATCGTCTTTAATTGCCTACTTCAAAATTTAACAGGGCCCATTTTACTCTAAAAAAAAGTTGCCGATTTTCTTAATTTCAAAAGTAAGGACGTTAGAGGTCTTTTTACATATCACATATATTTTTGTGAAAGTAATTCATTATATTTTTGAGTAAAAGACACTTAACCTCGATGTTTGGTGTAAAATACAGTTAGTCCGCTATGATTTGGATAATACCTACTTACCCCTAAAAGTTTAATGGAAAAGTCTGGTGTACACCTCTAAGATCTATTTAGTAAAAAATTGAATAAAAAAATAAATATACCATTCTTGCACATATGAACCAAACAACCTTAATTGTTATCTTTTGAGATTCCGAATACCCACGCATGCAAGCTATTTGTCTTTCTTTGAGATTCAGATTTCAAGCACGGCATATGCGTGCAACGGTGCAAGCTATCTTGTACAATTTTGTCGTTAGAAACTACTATTTGATTTGAATCATGTCCAAGCAAACAACACAGGCATAACAATCAGGGTTTTAATCCTTATAACCCAGTCTGTTAAAACTTACTTTTTTATAGAGTTGTATAGCTCGAGTGGAGAAGAAATCATCACAAAAGTTCCTTGGGAAACACAGACTTCAAAGTCTGTTACCACTTTCTTACATACCCATCGTCGTCAAGCATTATCGGTGCCGACTTCTTAGCCATCCGGAGTGTACTTCTCCATGAGTTGGCTCAATTCAGAATCAAACTCCTTTTCCAGCTCAACTTCTTCCTGCCAATGCCTCTGTCTCATAGCAGCCATCTTCTCTTCATGAGTTTTAATCAGCTTGTCCCTCTCACCCACAAAAGCCTGCATCTCGTCATCCTGGAACTTTATGAATTTCGCAATTTCATCCACCCTGCAAATCATCCCCCCCCCCGAAAGAAAAGAAAATCATATAAATATTCAACGACAACACGAAGAGGGGAGATCAAAATAGCATCTTGTCTTATGAGATGAAACTCTGTTTTTATGTAGAACAGCAACACGTGTTCGGTCAAATCACAGGGAAATACACATAAGTAACAGAAATATGTACCTGCGCTTGTATTCCTCTGTGTTTGAAGGATTGCGGTTAGATAGCTTGACATTCTCACGCTGCTGCTGCTGCAGCTTCTCAAATCTCTCTTCCCTCTCATCCCTGGCTTCATGGATGATTTTGATTTGCTCCTGGAAGAATTGCTCTTGGAAATCCATCTGGGAAGATCAAAACAGGAAATAGTTAAATAAGCAGAAAATAGGACCGTTCTATCAAGTAGAAAAATCAGTGGGAAGAAAATCGCTCGATCTTCATCTACTTGAACATCAACCGACACGGAACAGATGGTTTACCACATGAATCTATATCAAGCCGAAGCAGCTTCGAGTCTGACTACATACCTTAACTGCAAGCCTGGCAGCAAATAGCTAGATTTACCCTGGAAACTTCAATACAATAAAAATGCAATGCCAATTGGAACTTTCGTTCCAGATACAAACTTGTACGATCACCACAACCATCGGTTACTGGTAATAATTAGTGAACAACAAAAAGCTCATTTGAATGAACAAGTTGTTTTTGAGGACATATAGCGGTATGTGAGTACATCTGTGGCATAACAATAGTTTTTGGGGGTAAAGGTCATGAATGTTAAGCAATTCATGATAAACTAGAGCAGCATCCCGTGAAATATCTAGCCAGCTAAAAAATATATAACTGTTTAATCACTTTCTTTGGCCTGCAACAAAACAAACATAACACGACAACGTATCTAAAATTGGAACAAAACATACATAAATAATGCACTACATTTGAACCGATGGAACCAAAACATGCCATCAAAAACTGCAAGCATGAGCTATTAATCAATCCTTGCAAGATATCACAAACCACTAGGCTACAAATATGTACTATAGTATATAATTAGTAACAAATACACCACAACCAAATTTCTGGCAACAGGTATATGAAGAATGCTGCTGACTTGCATCTCAACCCAGACATAAAACTATCAAGAATTGAAGTAATTACCTCTTCTTTGTTCTGTTCATGCTGCATCTTGGTTCTTTGTCTTACAATTCTATTCTCCTCCATGGTCTTACGAAGCTTCTCAGTCACAATACCAAAAGACTCTTCAAGTGCATTCTTTAGCCTTTGCTCTTTTGCAACTTTGTTCTTGTAAAAAGTAAGCTGCTGGTTGTCCTCACTCATTTGCCTGATTTGGTTAACAACCATCTCTTGATAGGATCTCATCTCAAATTTCAGCCTAGATTTGCCTAATCAACAGATCAGTTATACAGCACATCAACCAACTGCACAAGTTTCTGCAGAACTACTTATTTGTGATAGGGGGGGGAAGATAAAGAAAAAGCTCGTGCATTTAAAATCATCTTGCATTATATCCCTGCATGTATACAAATCGTTTTCTTAGAGAGAGAACCTTGAGAGTGTTGGTTGAAGCTGTCAAGGTCTTCCTTTGTAGCTATGTAACCATAAAGTTGGCGCTTCCCACCTGGGTAAAATAAGACCCTACGTCTGTCCCAAGCCTCCCTATGTGTTCCTTGCTCATCAAAATGCTTATGTAAACGTTCAGCTTCTAAATAACCCCTTGCCGTGCTCTCAAAAATCAGAACACTCATTCCACGATGCCCCTGTGGACCATACGAGTGGCGAGCCCTCACAGCAGCATATGAGCTGAAATAATCAAGAAGCTCTTGGTTTCCCATACCAATCCACTGAAGTACAATAGAAATAAAATGTCATAGTAGGTTATGAAAATACAGTATTTCCACTTCAAATGGAAATAATTAGCTTCATTATTTTAGTACATCTGAAAATAAAATTGCATAAGATATTGCAGTACCTTGTCGTTCTCATCTTGTTCCAGCCTTGTGTTCATTATGATAACCATAGGTGGCCAGACTATCTCATGATCTTTTTCTTCATCTTTTAAACCCTTCCACTTCCCAAAAGCTTCACCTGCAGGAACAACCGAAGTGCCCTTTCTACTCAACTCCTCATCCAAGAGTTCAGCGAGTTCACGATGCAGTTTCACCCTTTTTGCTCCTTTCGTTTTCGCATGTGTCAATAGAGGCTGGAGACCTCGATACCAGTCAATGGCACCAGGACCACCTTGGCAAGCTGGGCAGTGCCACTGCCTTGCTGGGTCACTGATTTCCTCAATGGTCAAGGCATCCAAACTTGAGAAAAATTTCTTAAACCATCTATTATTCTTCCTTGTGTCGTGGCTCTTTTGACTTGAATCTGAATCAAAGTCATCAGTCAGAAGTTCATCATCAGAATCATCGATAGCATTATCATCTGAGTCATCATCAATATCATTGTCCTCTTCAACTTCAGCGCTGACATTGTTTTTCCCACTACCATCTTGTGACCCCTCAGATGGACTGGACCCAGCTCTAGATTGCCGGTTCCAGCCATACTGAGGAGACGGGCGAATAACAGGATTCGGACCATTCGGTGGCACATTGTTGTTCTCAGAAGTCTTGTTGAATGTTTGGGGCCTTGCATTTCCTCTGCCAGTTGCTGTCCAAGAATCAGTTTTATGTGTAGCCCAAGCATTGCCAGAGGCTCTTCCTGATCCGGCATTGGTCCACATGCCTCCACGCAAGTTACTATTGGAATTCTGAGTACCCCGGGGTCTTGCAGCACTGGTCCCAGCTTTGATCTTGGACTTCCTTTTAATAACCTCCCAATCACCATCGTCTTGAGGTAAACCCAGGTTCATGTCCTCTACACCCTGGCTTAGCTGCTCGAACTTGGAGCCAGAGAACCCAGATACGTCTTTCCCCTTGGAAGATGGGTTTCCATTCCCTTTTCTTGAACTCATCCTCCCAACAAAATCCTATTGTAACACACCATAAGATTGACACTTAGAAGTAGACGATAGTCCCCCCCCCCCACACACACACACAAAAAAACCAAAAAAACCCCAAAAAACAAACAAAGAGCAACAACAGTTAGCTATGAAAATGCCTGTAAATGGCCAGCAAGTTTCTTAAGCTATTAATTGGTAGTACCATCATCATATTCCTAATCATCAACACAAGTGCCCAATATACTCAATCGCAAAGCACGTTTCTTTTAAACTTTACTTGCAAAGATCAAAACATTTACACACTGCATTTGCTTCAGGGTAGACTTGGCAACATAAAACGAAATGCTAAAGTTAAACAAGCCAAACCTAGACATATACTAACACAGCCAACATGTTCAAAATAAACACTTTTAAATATTCCAAGGTATGACAAGATTAACAGGAGTAAAATTGCTAACCTATACAAAAATGGTAGCACGAAATACGGCCCGCAAAAACAACAATACGAGAACAAAACAACGAAAACCCATTAAATAACAAAAAAAAATCATTATAATCAAGAAACTCGCAAAATGATTTACCCCAAACCTAAGAAACAAAAACAAGGCTTACCACATAAAAACATAGTTAAAAAAACAAGAAATTTACCTCTAAGAATAGGAAAGATGTAGGATGCAAGCTAACTCCGATGAGGAGGAGGAGCGGCGGTGAGGGATGAGAGCAGATTAGTGCGCTGTGTGAGAACTGGAGAAAGAGTGTGGGATCCAGTAGAATTGGAGACAAATCTCTTTAGGTTTTGGTGGACAGATAAATAGGTGGAAAACAACTTGAGAATCATTTTGTACAAATAATTGCCTAAATTATATTATTTTCTCAGGTATTATTAAATGAAAAATCCTCATATGTTTTTTTAAAAACAATTAGTTAGAAAAATAATCTTAAACATTCTACTTAAGATTATCTAGCGTTTTATAAATCGCATTTAATAGACGTCGCATTTTATAAGACGCACGACCCATTAATTTTTTAGATAAAAGTAATAATAATTATGTGAAACTCGTTTTTCGTAAAATGTGATATTTAATATCGCTTTTTACAGAAGACGATATATCATGTGTAGACAATACGGAAATTATTTTTTCAACTAATTTAACACGAGATTATTTTTCAGAAAAATAATTAATGATGGTTTTTCATTTAATAATGTCATTTTTAAATGATTAAATTATTTTTTATTAATTTAATTGTTTAACGTTATAAGAATTATTATTTTGAGTATTCTGATTGTAATAATATTAAAAATTATATTAAATGAAATTATCAAATTCTAATAATTTTAACAATTTGTCATTTAAAGTAAAAAATTAAAAATATAATTTCTTTTTGAAAAAACTCAAGATCTTTAGAAATCTACAAAAACTCGAAACTTTAAGAACTTTTTATTCTAGTTTTTATATCCACGTTGGGCATCATTACTTGTTGTCGTTATAATTGACTGAATAACCACCGACCATACGGTCATCCGAGTCCGACAACACAACCACTATCGTTAGCCTTTGAAATCATTCCAACCACTGCCACTAAATGTTAATATTAGGTAAAGGAAGTGAGGGGACGGTGGGTGAGAGTGAAAGAGGAAGGATGGGAGGGGGAGCTATGGATGGGACAGTACGGGGAGAAATTAAAAAATTAAATATAATATTATTTTTAAGTTTTTATTTTAAAACAAAATCTTTAAAATTAACAAAGTACAATACACTTCATTTAAATAGATTTTCTAATGGTTGTTGTAGTAAGAAAATTTGGCCAACGAATGTTGTAAGCATGATTGAGATTAAGGAATTTAAGTTTATAAGGTCAAATTCGAATTTTACACCATCATTCTTAGTGGGCAAACTATAAATTTTAATATAAATCTTAATTGGGTCTTAAGTATGTTCTGACCCTAAACTAAAAAACAACATCTGACCTAAACTTTGTTGTACCAAAAAAATAGTTAGAAAACTTAAAATAGTAACGTTTATAACATTAAGAATATAAATTGATCGAAAAAAGACTGTACACCTAACCAAAAACGATATAATTTAAATATTTATTTTTATGTTACACCTTGTACTATTGTACACTGATACGATAAATAAGTAATGAAAGTTGAATATTACAGTGTCGAAAGGAATAAGGCTATATAACAATCCAACATTCAGTGAATTAAGTAATAATTAATTAAATAATATTTTAATTAAATGTGTACTTAACAATTCATAATTAGGGTAAACTACACTATGATCACTTAATTATGATTCATTTTCATTTTGACCATTAGTCTTTTAACTTTGTCAATCAATTCACTTAATTATTTAAATGATGTCAATTAAGCCACGTGGTTATTAACTTTAACGTATGGTAGTAAACAAAAATGATATAATTATACATTTAGTCATCTATATTTGTATATTTTATCAATTTAGTCTTAATTTTAATTTAATAAATGTATTTCTCTAATCATATGGTAAAAGAAAAATAAGTTGAAAAATATTTAATACAATAAAGTGCCTAAACTATATCATTTTTCCCATTTTAGGTTCCTAAACTTTTGCTCGGTCAATCCAAGTGCATAATATTTCCAAAGTTATACTTTTAGGTGTCTTGACTGTAACATACGATAAATTACTCTGTTAAGTGACACGTGTCGCCTTCAAATATTTTCTCTAAGATTAAAAAAATCAAATCCCTAAAAATCCATAAATTAAATCCCAAAAATCTTAACCCTAACCTTACCATCACCATTTTTGGGCACTACCATCATCACCTCCATCACCCTTGACATCTCCCTTATCGGACGTTGTCGGTTTTGCCATCGCACGCACCGTCGGATCGGCTGGGTATCACAATTTCAAGCTTTGGTTTTTCGGGTTTATGGGTTTTTGGTCGTTATGTTCAGTTATTCGTCGGGTGGAGGTTCGGTCGACTACAACGGCGATAGTGGCATGAGTATAAAGATTGAAATTAGGGTTTTAAATTCTTTTGGATATTTTAAGATTTGGGAAAATTTTAGGCTTCTTTAAATATATATATTTTTTTTAAATATAAAATTTTTAAAACTTTATAAAGACGACATGTGTCATTTAACGACAAAATTTAATGGCTGTGACAGTCAAAGTATCTAAAAGTATAACGTTGAAAACGTTAGTTACCTAGAGATCGAAAAATATTTTACACACATAAATAAAAAAATGATATAATTTAAACACTTATTTCTATATTAAGCATTTAAGAAAAAAGGTGATGGGAAAATGACCGAACCAATGACTTGGAACAAAGCTAAGGGTGCGTTTGGTTCACGGAATGTAAGTTTACTAGGGAATAGTATTACTGAGAATGTTGTATTTTGTGTTTGGTTGGCTTAGATGGAATGTAAGATTACCGTATTTGGTTAAAGGAATAAAAGATTATTCGAATGTATACTTGATCAAATTGTCCTTATTATATATTTTTTTAACAAGTTGGAAAATATTTATATATTTTCTTTAAAAAATTCAAATTCATAAATTTATATAATTTTTTTACAAAATTAAAAATATAAAAATGTTTAATGAAAGGGTAAAATTTTATTGTAACCCCTGAACTTCATATAAAATTTTAATTATATAATTTTTTTGTAAATCTAAAATAGTTTAAGGATAAATTTGTAATTTAACCTTCGTATAATTTTTATTATTCAATGACAGAATAATGATATTTTGAAAAAAAATTAATGGTATTTTAGTCCAAAACGCCGGTAATATAACAATACTTAATGGAGGTAATGACATTCCCAGTAATATACTCCAAAAAATCCACTATTGGTAATCTTACATTACCATAGGGAGGTAATGATATTCCCAATAATATATCTTAAAAAATCACTATTAGTAATCGTACATTACCAAATGGAGGTAATAATATTCTTATATGAATCTCATATTCCTCGATCCAAACGCGTAAGCCAACCCTTCATATGTGATACGGTTTACACTTCATATGTGATACGGTTTACACTTTACATAATTTGGTATATAATATATACATTATATAATGTCAGAAAAATAAACAAAGAAAACAAGTTATTGTTTTTTTATTATTTATTAATCCAGTTTGTAATCGTATCGTCTCTTGGTTCTCAACTTTCATGCATGAAGGGCATGGTTTTCGGAACCGGATTGATTAATGAATCGGTCATGCTATCAGTTTATTGATTCAATCGGTCGAATCGGTTCGATCGGTCGAAAGAACCGGACGACGTCATAATTATTTAAAAAATTAAATAAAAATACCAAAAATATTTAATAAAAATAATTTTTTATATCACAAGTCATATTCAAAGTAAGTCATAACATATAAGTTAAAAACCATAAAATCAAGTGAAACAAAATTCAAATTAACTACAACATAATATTTAAGGTAAAATATTAAATAATAAATATAATTATATAACTATAATTAAAAAATAAATTTTGGATTAAAAAATCATAACAAAATGATATTGTTTGGTTTAATTTTTTTTAAAAAAACAATCTCACATTGCTAAGAAACATAGAAGAGCATCTCAAAAGTCTAAAGAGTAAAAATATGAGAACAAAACAACCTCACATTGCTAAGAAACATAGAAGCGCATCACAACTAACTTCTATAAATAATAGAGTTAATTTGACATTCAAAATCATAGAGCTTTTTGGTGAGCATTGAGTGAACTATTCTTTCACTTCAATCAAGCTCGAATTTTAGGCTTCAATCGAGCTTCTAATTTTTTTTTGAGTTCAAGTTTCAATATTATATTTCGAGTTTGAGTTGAACTTGATAATTTTTAGCTTTTGAGTTTGAGTTGAGTTGAGCTTACTTTTAAAGTTTGTAAGTTCTAGTCGAGCTCAGCAATACTCGAGTTCGACTTGGCTCGTTTAACAAACAACGTTGTTTAGTTTATTTAAAAAAAAAACAAAAAAAAACCGGTTTTTTCCGGTTTTCAGCCGGTCCGGTTCGAACGGTTCAACGGTTCTGATCGATTCACTAATAACAGTTCAACCGATTTAGATTTAATATGACTAAACAACGATTCCCGGTTGAACGGACCGATCCGATCCGATTTTTGAAGGGTTACTTTTTCTGGCATTAAATAGATTTGCTTCACTATAAAATTCGCATGTGCTCAAATACTATTTTAACTTATTTCCTTTATTTATTTTTCTGGTATTAAATCCATTAAAAGTTCTATAGTAAATTGTGTCAATCACATCACATATGACAAGTTAGTGACATAATTGATAATTAATATAGTAATATGTTTTTTAATAAAATCATTTAATTTTTTAAAAAAATCTAAAAATAATAAATTATTAAATATAATAATAAATTTATAAAATATTTTGAATTATAATTAACTAAATAATAATAAAATCCTTAAAAAAGTGAATGATAAAGGACTTAAAAAATAAAATAATATACAAAAAAATTTTAATACTAAATATAATTATATAATTCAAACAATCCTATAAAAAACTAAAAAATTATAAGAAATTCGGGGGAGAAATAAAAAACAACGGTATCATTATTATTTTTAATGTTAATTGGTTTTTATTTGATCAAGTGATGAACTAATCAAGATCATGTGTTGCAAAGGGTTAGTATGAATCGATTCTCTCAATCAAACTTAGTTCTAGACCAACGTCTTTGTAATGTTAGTCTAATTTATGACACAATGAGATGTTAAAATTCATAAACAATAAAATAGTTTGATTCTTGAAGGATCTTCTT